CCTCGGTTCACTCTGGCACAGCTGGCTGCCAGTAGAGCCCACGAGAACGCCAACGCAGCCCCCTCTGGCTTCTGCTCCGTGCCTGCTGGGTGATCCCTCATCTGGGGCTCTCCTCAGCTCTTCCCATGAGGGTGGCACGGTTGCCCCTCCGGTGGTCCTCCTTGGGTTCTCCTCCATGCCTGCTTCATGCCCTGGGGGACGGGGCTATGGCTCCCACACCCTCTAGCAGATCGTTACATGGAGAAACCTTTTGAATACAAACGCGCTCCTCCACACGGCTGTTCACTGTTCAAAGACACAAACTACACCTTTCTTGGCTGCTACCTCAAAGCACATTGTGCGCAGTCGGAAAAAAAATCTCCTCGATCACCTGTTGAGAGAAAAACAGGTGATCGAGGAGATTTTTTTTCTTTTTAAGTGCCCTTTCTCACTGTCCCTCTTCCCCTCTGCTTTTCTTTTCCTTCATCTTTCTTTCTCCCTTTCCTATCCCCCAGCCATGTCTGTCCCGTCTGTAACAACTGAAATAAAATAAAATAAAATAAATAATAACAACAAAGGTCGATCAAATGGACCAATGCGGCAAGGCCGTGCTGATCCACTTGGTACAGTAAATCCACTGGGCATCTTTGTTGGCCTTCAGACAACAATTCTGATGGCTAAACAACCAAACAGGACAGGCGCAGAACCCCCCCCCAAAAAACAAAATAAAGAAATTCTGAATTTAAACAAAACAAAGCTGATGATATACACAAGTACATGAAGCTTCTAGCTACAGCTCATTTAAAAACCTTTCCCAGTTTAAAACACAACATGTGAATTCGCACACAGAATCAATCAATAATGGCAACATGAGCTACTAGCACAGAGGGACACAAACTTGTCAGATTAACAGAAGATCCTGTTCAGTGATCACAGATTTGCCTTTAAGCCACAATTCAGCTTTTGCATAACATGTTTAAAACATAGAAAAGGCTGAAGAGTAACAAAGGGTATATTATATTACACAGAGAAACAAAACGGTGAGCAAATCCAGAATATATTTTCAGTGAATACAGTACTGTTCAGCTGGGATAGGCTCCAGCTTCCATCATTATCAAATGTTAGAAATCATTTTTTCTCAGTCTGTTTATTGTTTCAGTTGAAGTCATTTCAATCTTTTTCTCTGCAGCGTCATCCACAGCAGAGCCAAGATGCACTGATAAAGTCTCCATCACTTCAACAGCACAAGTCTAAACTGTAAAGAGTGATTCATTCCTCTTCGAGGGTTCATGAAAAACATTTAGTTTCCCACCACAGACAAGCAGAGACAGTATTTAGCCTGGCTGCAGGCTTCATCCTCATTTGTGTTCAATTGACAGCAATGTGTGAATGTCTCTGAGAATAATTGTAGCTTTCATCTTTCATCAAGGACTGAAGAGGAAGAAGTTTACAAAGAATCATTTAGATTATTATTAGTTTAAAATCATCAACTGACTTAATCCATGAATTTTAAAAAAGTGTTTCTGAGTGAAAGAGACAGTTCAGTCTGTACATGTCTATTTGTTCAACAGCCAGAATGTTTCCCGAACAGGAGAACACTCTTTACACTCAACTCAGCACAGACACACTGAGGAACCCAGAAACCAGAGTCTAAATCCAGGATAAAGAGGTTCAGTGAATGTGGTGTTGAAGGTGTGGAGGTGGATCAGAGTGTCAGAGGAGACTCTGTAGAAGGACAGAGTGCCAGCAGGACAATCCACATACACTGCTACTCTGTTAGAGACAGAGGAGGAGGAGGAGGAGGAGGAGGAGATGGATGTTTGTATGCTTTTGTGCCTGACAGAAGAAGGCCCATCATCAGAGCAGTACAGACTCCAGGACTGATCATTGTTTCCAAACAAACACTCAAGACTGCCTCCTTTCCTTCTAATTCTTCTGTAACTCACTGATATGAAAACATGTCCTCTCCACTCAACCTCCCAGTAACAGCGACCAGTCAGACCATTTCTACACAGTAGCTGAGGATCAAAATCAAATCTGTCTGGATGATCAGGATATGATTGAACCTCCCACACAAATGTCACCTTCCTGTTGTTGTCAGACAGTTTGAGGTTTGTGTGTACTGTGTTTGTGTTGATTGTGAGTTGACAGGAATCTGATGGAGAGAACAAACACAATCCAGCTGCAGTTATTGATCCATCATCTGTTCATTGATTGACACTTTGATGATGACTCCTGACATCAGAGATGTGAATGAGTGATGTGACAGTTTGAAGATGGTTGAATGTGTGCTGCTTTGTTTTCATGAATCACATTAAAAGCACACTTACACTTCCTCAGACCTGGTCTAAACCATCGGACTCCAGCAGGCTCCACCCTGAAAGGAGGAGGGGAGTCAGACCAGCACAGTCTCTGATAATAAGAACAGTTCAAAATAGGGAGAATATTGTGTGATTCGCATGATCCTTAAGCTGCCCTTACTCTTTACTGTTAGAGAGCTCCTGCTTCAGTCACACAGGAACAATCCACATATCATTTATTAGCACCACGTACTGAAAGATAAACGAAGTGTTTCCTGCTGCTGCTTGGAAACTTTTAGGGAGGTGTAAGGAAGATGTTTTTCCTTCATCTGCCTCTAAAATCAGTTGATACTTTCAGTGCAGATACATTAATGAGGAGTTTTTATTCTGTCCTCTTCCTGTTGGCTTTGAATTGAGAACATTCACCACTCTGTGACCTGTTCACTGAAATTTAGTAAAAACACCAACAGACATGTTTAAAACACATTTTTGGGTTTGACTGTTTTGTTTTCATGTCCTTGATGTGCTTCTGTTTGCTCTGAATATTAATCAGTGACCTTATCATTGCTGCAGTGGACAAACAGGTTACTACAGTTTACAAGAAAAGCGACTCATTACTATCACTGCTCCAGCAGTCTTTCTTGGAAACAATATAAAGAAATTAGGTGGCTCGAGACTTTTGCACAGTGATATATTTTCTTCATTAAGAGCAGAAAAGCTCTGCGGTCAGCTCCCTAACAGGAAACTGGAGAGGACCAATCAGAGTGAGCTACAGTCCAAACAACAGCTGAGTGCCACATATGAACACAGAAGTGTGTGAAAAGAATTTATTCACAAACACTGAGTCAGGAACAACATTTAGACACACATTACCTTTGTGCAGCAGCAGCACCTGGTCCTTTGTGAAAACTTAGACCAGTATCCATTGACTGGGCACGCTTTAAGGCCACACTGCTATTTTCAGATAAAGAAAAATATGGGTCAGATACATCTTGACAGGAAAATAACAACGACAATAATAAAGGTGAGAAATAAACAAACAAATCAGAGACATGATGGACCACATTACATCAGAAATAACAAACGATATCAAACTATTTCACTGACAACAATGTATCCTCTACATGATCCAGCCCTGATTAAACTCGTAGAATGACTCACTCTGTGTCACACAAACGTCTCTATTTTAAATCACTTTTAAATGTTTCTGATCCCACAAATCAGCTGTTAGACTTTTTGATGATTTTATAAAAGTTTAACCTGCTCTGCATTTATCCAGAGAACAGCTGAATGAAGATCAGACACAATACTGTTGTAACTGCGATACTAATAGTAGTCTGGATACTTCTTTACTTTTTTATGCTTTAAAACAATCACAGCTAAAAATAAAAAAAGCCCATCACAATCTTTACTCAAAACAAGAAGTGAGAGATGAAAAAAGTCAAAGGAACTAAAAATGATGAACATTCAAAAAGGTTTTACTAAGAATCTAATTTAGTCCAGGAACCAGTTTGTCATCAGGTCTGTAAACCTGCTGTAAAATCAAGGATGTAGAAACAAGAAGGAATTCATCAGGAATCTCAGTAATTCCTAAAGATGGTAAAGCTGGCAATCCATGGTCACCATGGAGACCAGTGTCACTTAGAAACACTGATCAGAAATATTTGGATCAATAAGAGCAGAAAGGCTCTGCAGTCAGCTCATTAACAGGAAACTGGAGAGAACCAGAAAAGCTGAGCTTCACATATTTCATTTCATTTATTTATTTCACACTTGGTACAAAAAATCAAACAAACCAACCACACTTTCTATCAAAAAGCACTACAACCATGTGTGAAAAGGAGCAGGAAGAAGAAAATATTCTTATTAAACCCTGCCCCCTATCTACAATCCAATTTATATTACAAGTGGGCATCAAAAATCAGGGAACAAACTAACATTAACATTTATCTCCAGTCCTAACCCAAACCAAACAACAAATTTACAATCAGAATATACCACTCCACATAGTAACAAGGAAAAAAATTAAAATTAAAATAAATAAAACAAAAAATTATAATGGATCCTTTTTCAATGAACTCCAATTTCATTCACATTCTTCATATTGACTTATCGTTTTAAGCATGTAACACTTTTTAAAACAATATAAATTTATACAATTCTTTAAATTATAATGAAGTGAGTTCTACAGTCGAAATACCCCTAACCGTTGGACTCATTAATCTTTGTGTAGTTCTAGCTAACTGATGCTTAAAATAAAAAAAACATATGAACACGGAAGTATGTGAAAAGAATTTATTGAGTCAAGAACAACATTTAGACACACATTACCTCTCTGCAGCAGCAGCACCTGGTTCTCTGTGAAAACTCAGACCAGTATCCAATGACTGGGCACGCTTCAAGGCCACATTCCTATTTTCAGTTTGAGGAAGATCTGGTCTCAGAAACATCCTGACAAAAAAAAATTATTTTACATTTTAATATGTAAATATTTTAATAAAAGTGAAGGAATAAGGGGAGGAAACCCAAAATAAAGAAGTCACAAGAAGTCACACACATGATGGACCACATTAAATCAGAAATAACAAATGATCTATTTATCAAACTATTTCACTGACAACAATATATCCTCTGTAGAGAATACAAGTATAACCTCTGAAAACTGGCAGGATTACCATTATTTTATTCAGTTACAACATCTGTGTGACCTTTGTCAGGCACAGAGAAAGAAGCCGTTGTTTTTAAAGTGAGTTGTTCTCTTGCTTATAAGCTTTTTTGTGTGTTTCATGTCCTATACTTATACTATACGATCCTAAATTATCAGATCCCAGGAACAATAGCGATTGCTGTTGCAGGAGAAATAGCAATCGCAATAGCAATCAATTGAGGATCTCAATAAACTAAACTAAACATCACTGAGAAACACTGATCAGAAATATCTGAATCAATAAGAACAGAAAGGCTCTGCATCAAAGCAGTGCTCACTAAACTGTTTGTCCTCCTCCATCCAGCAACACCTGAAACACCTGACTGGATGTTCCTCCCTACAATGTGTTTGAAGC